TTGAAGCGCGGGCGGCAGTACGCGCGCGTGTACGCGTGGCGGCCCGCGCGCCAGACGCGCTCCGCGGCGGCGACGGCCGCGGCGGGCTCGAAGGCCGCGGGGTCGGCCGTCCAGCCGAGCTCCTCGGCGAACGCCACCGTGCCGAAGGCGCGGAAGGCGGCGCAGTTGAAGAGCACCGTCGCCGCGTCCGCGGCCGCGTGGCCCGCGGTCCAGGCGCGCCGGAGCCACCGCGTCGCGCGGTCGTGCTCGCGCTTGACGTTGGTGAACTTGTGGGCGTTGAGGACGGCGTCGTCGCTCCAGGGCCAGGGGTCGCCCCGGGCCTTGGCGAGCCGCAGGCCCTCGCGCTTCACGAGCACGGCCAGGAAGTCGCGGGGCCGCGGCGGCGCGGCGGCCGCGGCCGTCGGGAATTGGGGCCGCACCGCGAGGTCCCGGAGCGCGCGTTTCCGCGCCTTCTCCGCCCGCGCCGCCGCGTCCGCGCGGCCCGCCGCGGACCGCGCGTAGGCCGCGGCCGCGTGGTTCGCGCGCCCGAAGGACTCGCCGAAGAACCGCGGCGCGCGTAGGAGCTCGCGCCCCGCGGGGCTCGCGACGCGCGGCCGCGCGTCCGGCGCCGCGCGATCGAGCACGGGCGCGTCGTGCGCGAGGCGGCTCGCCGTCGCGTCGAGGAACCGCTCGCGGAGGCCCCGGAGCGTCGCGAGCTCCGCCGCGCGCTCGTCGCCGACGGCCGCGGCGAGGCTCACGCGCCACGCGAGGTCCGTGAGCACCGCCTGGACCGCGGCGCGCCGGCCGATGGCCGCGCCGTCGCGCTCCGGCGCGCGCCAGCGGTGCCGGCCCGCGCGGTGCACCGTGTAGACGACGTCCGCGAGCGCCGCGCCGCACTCGCCTGTGTGCAAATCAAATCTTCAACCCGACTTCAATGTGCGCGTACTCGAATGTTTTGACAGGAGCACTTCCGCCGTGCTTCGAGAACTCGCTGAGAGCAATCGATTCGTCCAAAAATCAGCCGAATCCACTACGATTTGACCGAGCTAGAGAATTCTGAAGTTTGGCCCCGACGTCCCAGCTCACTGGTTGATTTGCACACAGGCACTCGCGGCGGTCGAGCTCGGCGAGCGCGCCGCCGACGGCCGCCGCGGCCGCG